TTTAATCAATGAAGCGTAGAAAAATCCGAGTTGATTTATTCAGATCTTACGTTTTGATGTAGGAGTTATACTCGATATACTTTAGGTTTTCGGCATGAGAAATGCCTTTCATTTTCTTCAAGGAAGGTTTCTTTTCGTTTAGAAAGGTACTCTTTCTAACTTCACTTGTACTGCTAGGAATGTAACAGTGATAAGCATATGTTTGGTATCGTTTAAATATATTTCTTCGAATGAGTGAGAGAAAAAGAAGAACATTTTCTTCTAGAAAAAACAAAAAGAAAAGAAAGAGCTATATTTTTGGTGATTCTAGCATCTCTTCCCAAATGAAAAAAAACATTGCTTTGTTAGTGAACTCAACGTACTTTATAATCTGGACAACTAAAAAGAAATTAGTGACCTAAATATTAAAGCGTTATTAGGCAGTGTCCTGAATAAGCATTAGAGCAGATTGTATGGATGACTGTTATAGATATCCATTATTTAATCACGATTACTAAGGTCTGTAATATGACGAAGTAAGGAGAATGGAGATCGGAACATTGAACCCAAAGATTTGGACTTAAAACCCTAACTCACTATTTTCTTCGAAAACATAATGAGTTCCACAAAACTAAAAGGTATTCAGCATTCAAACCTTTACTATAATTTTTCAGAGTCAAGCAAAAACTCCATGCTATACGGTGAGTACTGAATTAACACAGTTTTGTCTTGAGAATACCTCAATCCAAGAAAATTTACTAGATTCACTCTTTCATGAATGATTTTAGTTTTTTCAATAGCACACATTTGAATATCAATATAGTGAAGGAAAGTATACTTGAATCATTCAAAATTTGCTTTATTTTCATATCAAAAAATTTCTCATGAATCTCTACATTACATAATCAATGAAAAAAGAAAAGAATAGAATGATCTAAAACCTTCATCTTATAGTGCCATGTCCTTTTTAATAATCATTACTTATCATTTTATTAGTTATTCCAATTGTGTTCCGAAGAGATTCTTATTTCAAATGAATTATCAAAAGAAAAAGAAAAAAAAAATTTATACATTTTAGATGCATTTCTTCACTTTTCTATGAGTTGATCATTGGAAAATTGAAGGAAGGAAATGACTCATGTATTATGGTTAGCTGTTGTGATGTACAATCTGTGATTGTATATCAACAACGTATGTAATGGTCTCTGGATAGTGTCTCTTATAATTCGTGGTAGAAAGAAGAGTATGAACAGTAGTACAAATTTCTATCATAGTCATTTCAATGCTTCTATCAAATCTTGTTTTTTAAACATTCAGGCAATTGCTCTTCCTAAGATAATGCATTACCTGCGTGCATAAATCGTTTGTATGAATCTAAATATGAAGATATTTTTCATGTTATTAAATGAATAGAGCAATTTACAAACTATGAGTCATCATAAGAAAACAGATAAAAAAAACACGCTTGAAAGGACAAGCAGGAAAAAACCAAGTAAAGAAGAGAAAAATGGAGAATATGACGCATATTAATAGAATATGTATTACTGAATAGTAAAAATAAACGAAAACTCAAAGCGTAGAGAACAGAACAAGATAAAAAGTATCAATAAAAATGGATCGATTATGCAACAATGTGTTACAGAAATTGTTGAAATGCATTCTTGTGATGGTACATAATAATACTAAATTAGTTCATAAGTCGAAAACGATTTTGCATATTTTAATTTAAAGAAAAAACTCTATTGGAAGACAATTTTAGAATAATTTTAAATCTGTTTTGTTTTTGAATCGATCATTATGCTTTTTTCTTCGAAACAAAATTTTTCTACAGAAATAATACTGTTTATTTCAAGAGTAAAATATATTTTCTGTATTATACCAAAATATGTATCATTATCCTTAAATGATTAAAATATTTTTGCTTAATTTTATCATTTTTTTTAATATTCAGATATCAATTCAAATCATGACTTTTTTTTTGTTCAATTAAGGATCGGTTATTGTTATTGAAGAATCAACTCCATGTATATTATTGCTCGAAATAATGAATTGAAAAATGAAGAAACTTCTTGTAATGCACATGCATGTATGTGATTTTGCATTATTACAATGTAAATTTATACTATTAGTTCGTAAATTTTTGACTACTTTCTTTAAAAAAAGTGTATGATAAGGGACCGTTCAGGTTTTTAGAGAGTACATTGGACTTTTAGAGATTCCATCCATTTATTAATAAACAATCAAAAGTTCTACTTTGGGTATACCAATCACAGTGTCATCATTATCTTATTTACAAACAGAAAGCTTGAAGAAAGTTTCTTTTTTTTCGATGTAGTGATAGAGAAATCGACGCTTAATTTTTCTGTGCTATTTGATTACTACTGAACTCTTAAATACGCTGTCTGAAGTTTGTTTAATCAACTTTTCCAAGGTCAGCAGTTGGATTTTTATTACAAAAACAAGCAAGAAACCCACACCATTATAAAGAAGTTGCTAAAATAACATCTCCCATTGACAGTTTAAATGTACATCTGAGAATAAAAAGTTCGCTGTGTACATCTCATGATCAAGATCTATTTTCAAAGTTGATTGAAAAATCTTACAAAAAGAATCAGACCGAAAAAATCTGAAGCATAAAATTCGATGCATCTTGAGGGTGGGTGTGGGTATTTCTAGTTTCAAAGTAATATCAGATTATGATTCCAGTATTTTTTCAAATTTCAAAAATTTACTCTATACAGTAGCATGAAAATCTAAGTGTTGGCAAATTTTCAATAGCAACCTGAAACATACATTATCATTTGATACACTATGATGAATTACCCCAGTATGAAATCCTTTTTCGAATCTTTCAAAGTCAATTCATCGAAATCTAAGAGAATAGATGTCAGTTTGAGTGTTGTCGTCTGTTCAACCACATCCTAGTTTCGCTGACAGCTGAAACTCTAACTCTCTTTCTCCAAATGGACAATAGATCAATCAATATGTAAAATCGAATCATTTAGCCACTCTGTTATTGGATAAAATAAGTGATATACATGAAATATTATCTTTGAAAAATTTATTCAAAAAAATTATTCTGACACGCAATGTGTTTTGTTAGAGAAGATCAGGAAGAAATTATGAGATTTAAGCAGACTAATTTTGATATTGCTAATAAAATTAGTACAGAATGAGTGTTAATACTGCTTCAGTCATAAAAGCACTTTTTATTCCCCTCTAATATATTTTTTCAACTCATTTACCGAAGGACTTCTGCATATTTTACAAAGAAGGTTGACTTCATGTATCAGTTATCAAAATAGGATTCAAATGTGTGTTGATTTGATTATTATTCAAATCTTGTCATTATATTTACATTGGATAAGAGATTTCATTACTAATTCAGTAACTTTCAATCTCCCCTTATTCTGTAGAATAAGATGGAAATGAAAATCGATTTATAAAATGAAGTTTATGAAGTCTTAGTAAAGTTTTTGATTTGAAAACTGCTTTTGGTTCTTTTTATTAGAAAATCTTATGAAAAAATTAGATATAACGATTCTGGTACCGTTTCAATAAATTGTGATCAATCATTTGTTGATTGCACTTTCATTGATATATATATATATGACTCATATCTTCTCTTCATTTGAAGAGGATATTTATGCAATGAAAATAAATACTACTAAAGCTGAATTTAAAGCGAGCACAAATTCATTTTGATTTTATGAAAAGATGAAGGTTGTAACTTTGTTACTCACTCTTCTCATCGCTCATAGTAATGCTAACAATGGTACACGTGAGTGATTATTCTAATAATGAATATCTATTTATAATCATTGATAATATTAGATGTTACGTCAGTTTGACAACTTCTACAGTTGTTCCATATTCACTTGCACAAGTCACGTTTCCACTTAACATCATATTTTCATCTACAGCAAGAAAGATTAGTGTGACTATCTTTATTCGAAGTGGAATGAATCCTGGTGAAGCTGTATTCAATGTATGGATATGGACTGAATGTCCTGAATACGGTATTAGAGATACAAAATTCAAACGTGGTTATCGCTACTATCAAAGTGCTTTTTCATTTGATTGCGACACATTCGAATTTTTCTATTGCTCATCGAAGCCCGAACTTCATATTATCACAGATAACCAAGAAAGCAATGTACATCTGGAACTATACGCTATAGGTTATACTATAATTTAAGTTCTTTTTGACAAATAATAAACACAATTTGTTTTATCTCAATAAATATATTGTCTTGAAAACATGAAGTATTCAAAACCAATTTAATTTTTGTTTTTATATCATTTATTCTATAATTGATAGAGTATTTGAAAAAATAGCATAAATTATAAAAATATATATTTAATTGATATACTGTATATGATGGATAAGAATTCATCTAGATTATAATATTTTACTGATTAGAAGGAAGGAAAAGTGACGATTCGAAACTTTCACATTATTTGATAAATGTTCGTTTGAAACTTTAATGATGTTTAGCATGTACATAATTTGTTAGTAATTATACTATGTCAATTGAACACAATTCTAATTCATAGTATTCAATAGATTTCATCATCTTAAATGATAGAGGATATACACTTGAAGCAGTAAAAAATTAACATTTTCATGAAGTTTACTTTCAGTAAATTAACATTATTAGAAATATCAATTAGTTTTTATTAATTCGAATTTCTAAAATATCGCTTGTATGTTATTTTACATTCTTGTTGATGTTACTTTTTCTAGTTCTGAACTAAAGTCTCTTGTTAGATACAGTTATCTGGTCGAAAAATACAACTGTTTATAGTGAAATATATCAAATCAATCGGTCATATTTCTCTGTAAAGACAGAATCAGGAATAAAGTAAAGTTATGATAATTGAT